GCAACTGTAATATTAAAAGATAAAGCTCCCCCACCACTTTATTTGACATCGGACAAAAATTTGTACCTGAGCTTTTTTGTTCAGAGAGTATCAAAGATAAAAATGGTGATATTTATTGACATCCTTTATCGGATATTTTTTCGAGAAAATTCTATTTTTATCCTTTGATATTACAACTGCGACCTCTAGTGGCCATCCTACAAACTTGAAAATAATTTCCAGCAATTTATCTTGGCCTCTTTTATCAATAATTTCTTTTTCTCCAAAGTTCTAGTGTTATTAAGCTTCTGGGATATAGCCGGGTTACCTCTTCAGGTGAAACACCCGGTATACATATCTTAAATTCGAAAAATATAAGTGATAAAATACTTACAGCCTATTATGTATGATATTCCGAGAATAGCACCGTGGGGAAATCATCATTGCACATGAAAAAAATAAATAATAAAATTAGCTGTTTATCCTTACTGAATCTATCGTCCGTCGTTTTTAATCTGATACTTTCCGTATGAGGAGCGAGGGGGTGAAGCTTATGGCAAAAACAGGTGTGACGTCAGGTGACCATTGGCGTTTTAATGTAGCTCACATTTTGTTGGAGTATCACATTAAAATCGACAGACTTTATGGTCAAACTTAGAAATTAAGAAAAGTGAACATTTGTATATTTAGCGGTACAAAGAATAATTATTAGTTTTCTATGTGTTTAAGGTGCAAGAGCTTCGGCTATGGTAGCGTTCCTTCGGTTATGATTATCCAGGAATCACCATCTTTTGTGTTTGGCAATGAAGATCAGCAACTAACTGAACAAAATGAACATTTAAACATGAGATCATTCTGATTTTTGGGCCTTGTTTCTCCAGTAGACTTCATCTTAAGTCTGTATCCGTACCGTAATAAGAAAGTTCCGACATTTCAGATAATTGCAGTTCTCTATTTCCAAAACAACAAATGATCGGTTGAGTGTTACCTTGAAAATTATGAGTCATCTAAATAATATTAATCTAGCAGCACGTAACTTGCTTGGGAGCCAATAAGGAAGGCTCCATGAACGACTACATATCGAGGGCTTTTCATCAAATTTTTTCCAGTGGAATGGAAGAACTGAAATATCTATTTCCGGAATATGGGAGCAGGATAAGGACAGTGGAATAGGCAGGAATTACTAGAAAGGTAACGACGACAGAGACCAAAGAAGTCTGAATAAATTGATTACATCTGGAGTGATTTTGAACTGACACAGCCGCTCAACACTGGTACCTTTCCACATATTTTGCGCCTGACTCTGCGTCTAGCTGGTGTTCAAGATTTGTAGGCTTTTCCCACGAGAATCCAGCTTCTTGGCTTGTATGGGGACGTTAGCTGTGACACTTCATGGTATTTAAAACTTTTGCAAAACAGCAGGGCATTTACTTTCTTTTGCTTTTTTGCAAAATCGGCTTTGTCTATCTTACTTGGCAATGCGCAGACGAATATTCTTATGTCGCTTCTGTTCATGTCGAGAAGTTATTCAGACCTTTTTCCTGAGATGATTATGAACCTTTTGCTTGTCGCAGACCCCGAGAAGATCTCCGATGAGTTATCGTTTGGTTCTTTTCCCATTTCAGTAGTTCTTCCACGAGGAAGCTCTTTATTATTCCGCAGCAGGATTCAGTTTTGGGATTTCAATAGTCTTCTCGAAGAAAAACTCAAGATTCAGAATCTTGGGACTTTGTCTAGAGAAGAATCAGAAAATTTGCAAAATAGTGATTCAGAAAACATCAGAATGTTTGCAGAATAATAAATCTTGAGTCCTTTTAGAAATGAATCCGGAAATTTGCAAAATAATGACTCAACATTCAAGATCCACAATTTCAATTTATTTATTTATTTATTTATTTTTTTTTCATAAAAGCACGAAGAAAGCTTCAAGTATGCAGAATTCAGTTTTAGGATCTCAAGAGTCTTCTTGAAGAAAAGCAGAACAATTCAAAATTTAGGGTTTATAAGAATCTGACAGCATACAGGATCAAAAGATCCTGAAAATCTGCTCCTAAAACAATCAGAAAGTTTGCAGAATAATAAATCTTGAGTCCTTTTAGAAAAAAATCCAGAAATTTGCAAAGTGATCACTCAGAATTCAAGATTCACAATTTCTATTTTTTTTTTTAAAGAAAGAAAGATCAACATGTCCTGAAAATCTCCTCCTGGAAGTATCAGTCAGAAAGTTTGCAGAATGATGAATTTTGAGTCCTTTCAGAGAAGAATCGAGAAATTTGTAAAGTAAAGACTTAGGATTAAAGATCCACAATTTCTTTTTTTTTTAATAAAAGCACGAAGAAAGTTTGATGTTTGCAGAATTAAGTTTTGGGATCTCTAGAGTCTGCTTGAAGAAAAGCAGAACAAAAAATCTAAGGTTTCTAAGAATCTGACAGGATACAGGATCAAAAGATCCTGAAAATCTGCTCCTAAAACTCCCCAGTACAACTAAGTTTCTAGTAATGGGGAACCGGGGTCAGTTAAGTTAACCCCCCCCCCCATATTTCCAAATCCATTAAAACTTATACCATTTTTTTGCACCCATTTTGCACCGTTTTGCACCACCCGAAAAAAAAATTGCACCCCCTCAGGAAAGAGATTATATAGAAGTATTACTGGGGGGGGCCAAATTAACCATGGCCCCCCACACGCCAAATTTCAATTTAAAATAGCAGAAATTGTTCTCCGAGTTTTGCACCATTTTGCACCATAAATATTGAATTTTGCACCGCAACCCTTAGACCTCTACAGGGGGTTGAAAGAGAAATTGTTGCCACCCCCCCCACACGCCAAATTTCAATTTAAAATAGCAGAAATTGTTCTCCGAGTTTTGCACCATAAATATTAAATTTTGCACCGCAACCCTCAGGTCTCTACAGGGGTTGGAAAGAGAAATAGTTGGCCCCCCCCACACGCCAAATTTCAATTTAAAATAGCAGGAGATTGTTTTCCGAGTTTTGCACCATTTTGCACCATAAATATTAAATTTTGCACCGCAACCTTTAGGCCTCTACCGGGGGTTGAAAGAGACATATTAACTTTGTTCCAACACAGCTGAAAACTCTATACAATTTACCCTCGAATTTACCCAAGGATAATACACACTACACACGGATTGCTTATCCACCTCTTTTTGGATTTCAAGGTCATCTGGTGTAGCACCAGACAGCCTGTTTGCGCCAGCGGTCGCAATTTAGAATATTAAAGCAGACGCCAGCAGAATTATAGCCTGTGGTGCAAACACCCCACGTCAAAGCAAGAAACTACACGATACTACGTCATCACCGATACTTTGGCACTATTTCTCTTTCAACGTAGATGCTTAAGGGTTGCTTTGCAAAATTTAATACTTTGGTGCAAAACTCGGAGAACAATTTGTGCTATTATAAATTGAAATTTGGCGTGGGGGGGAAAACTATTTCTCTTTCAACCCCCTGTAGCGGCTTAAGGGTTGCGGTGCAAGGTTTAATATTTATGGTGCAAAATGGTGCAATACTCAAGGTGTTCCGTGAGTATTGCACAAATTGTTATTTGTAGTATTGCACAAATAACAAATTGTTATTTGTGCTATTTTAAATTGAAATTTGGCGCGTGGGGGGGGGGGGGGCAATTATTTCTCTTTCAACCCCCTGTAGAGGTCTAAGGGTTGCGGTGCAAAATTTAATATTTATGGTGCAAAATGGTGCAAAACTCGGAGAACAATTTATGCTATCATAAATTGAAATTCGGCGTGTGGGCCCCCCCCCCCCCCAGTAATACTTCTATATAATCTCTCTCCTGAGGGGGTGCAAAATTTTTTTCGGGTGGTGCAAAACGGTGCAAAATGGGTGCAAAAAAATGGTATAGGTTTTAATAGATTTGGAAATATGGGAGGGGCTAACTTAACTGACCCGGGGAACCGGGAACAAATTATAATAAAGCAGCGACTACCTGAAATAGGTAGTACTAGCCGTCCTTTCTAACATACTAAAAGTCCCCGGATTTACCTTTGACCAAAAGGCCTCAAAATTGGTCCGCCATCTTGAAAATCGGTACTTATAAACAAAATCTTGTTATATCCTAAAAACTATCGCAGATATGAAAAAATATGAAGATAGTGAAATTGAAGGGCATAAAAAAGTACTTTATATATATTTATTTCCAGCCTTATATCTGTGATGGTATTGAAGATAAAATAGTTTTTATTTTTTAGAAATAGTGAAATAGTATCAAAAAGTTGGTGATAGTGCTGCTAAACTGCGGGAAGCTTTGTAGAAATGAAGGAAGATAAACTAACGATTTCAAAAATATAGACAGAACATAATTCTCATTGAATTAAACACTCATGATGCGACTATCAAATCAAATATTGAATTATCAAGTGATAATCGAATAGTTAATTTTTTAGGCTTATAGAAAAATATGTGACTATAAAATTCCTATAACGTTTATTAGTACATTTTAAAAATAATATTATTTCCAGCAGTTAGTTAAAGCAACGGAAAATTTGTCAGTTTTCTCAGATTTCCATTCTTGAACAGTTATAGTAGGCCTACATTCCTAAACACCTGATTTGTTTACAGTGGAAAAATTGTATTTTTTGGTTTTATGTATTAAATTTGGATCTGTTGCTCTCTTTGATTAGTTTTGGTAAGTGTTTTAAGTGAGTTTTGACTTAAACATTGTTAGTTTAGTACATAGGAAAACTTTGTACTTGGTTGGTGGTACATGCGAAATATTCAAGGCGAAATTTTAGGCAAGTAAGAATATTCAAATTATTACTAAAAATTGAAGGTATTTTTCTAAATAGTGAAGCACATAAACTACTTTACAGTAGGTACCACAAAATCAATTCATTTCAGATTCAATATTTAAAAGTGAGGTTACGATATGACGGCCTATCTTTAAAGTACAGGTTGCGTGGTCACAGTTGGGTCTACGATGTTTTCTTCGCGGTCGTAACATTCAAGAACACTGTAATCCTAATTTTTTTTTGCTTCAGAATAATGGATGTTTGTGTGCTGTGTGGCCTCACGTTGATCAAGAAGACAGTTAAAATTAAACAGAAGGGTTTACAAACACTGAAAAAAGCAAGCAAAGAACGGAATGATGGAAAGTTGAAGTTATTGGAGAACAAAACTGAGCTAATGGTTCACGTGAAATGCAGAAGAGACTACACTAGGCCAACTAGCATAAAAGCGTCAAAAAATGCTCTAAAGAACGTGACGGGACAGCCAACAAGCCGTCCACATTTAAGAAGTTCAGTATCTGATTTTAATTTTAAATCTGAATGTATATTTTGCGCCAAGAAATGTCTCCATAATCGTGAAAATCGAACACAGAAAACTAGCCTTGTCACAACATTGGAAGTCAAAGATACCATCATAAAACACTGTGAGAGAAGAAGCGATGAATGGGGATTACAAGTGAAGAGTCGCATATTTATCTGAAATAGATCTTGTTGCAGCAAAAGCGCGCTATCATAGAAGCTGTTATGGATCTTTCATAAATATTAAAACCGAAAAAAAAAGCAGTTGGTAGACCAGAAGATGCAGAAAGTGTAAATGCTTTCAAAAAGTATGTCAATATTTAGATGACAATAAAGAGGAAATGTGTCAGTTTTCCCTTGCTGACATACAAAATAAAATGAAAACATTTTTTCCACCAAACTCCAAGCCATGGTCCACAAGATATCTCCGAAAAAAAATTGTTGAGCATTATAAAGAAGAGTTAGTAATCATCGATACTCCTGGATGCCCCACTGTTTTGTGCTTCAAAAAAAATAACGAGGAGCTCATAAAAATGCTTGAAAGGACAGGTCATGTGATCAAGATAAACGTCAAGGTATAATTGAAACTTGTGCCAAAATTTTAAAGGAGGAAATAAGGTCTCGTAGCTTTAATCTTGAAGAGTATCCAAGTACTGAACAAATTTCCACCGGGGACGTCGAAAACATACCTGAAGGACTTTTGTTTTTTTTGCGGTAAAGAAATAAACACTAAAATTATTTCCATCGCCAATGCAATAATAGCTCTTGTTCGTCTTTGGTCTTTTGTTTCTCCTGTTCTTTTTAGTATTGCAATATATTTTTATCGAAAATATGGATGTAGAAATTTGATAGACCTATTATCAGCGCTAGGCTTTTCAGATACGTACAGAGAAGCTTTAAAATTCGAAGCGTCAGCTGCTCAGCACCATGAGCATAAAGTTACAGATGAAGCATTTCAACAATTCGTGTTTGATAAGGCTGATCACAATATAAAAACCCTTGATGGATATGGGACATTTCATTCGATGGGGGAATTGTTTGTGTACCACCAAGAGAAGCTCACATAATTCAAAAAAAAATAGGGAGACCTCGTAATATTCCGAAAGCAGAAGAAGTTGGAAAATTTGGTGCTATTCCATTAAAACATTATAAAAAAAATACAGCCACAAATAATAAAAACTGCATTGAAGAACCACACAATATCATTTCGGAACAGATTTTGAAGGAATTTAAGGTCAGGGACTGCCTTTGGCTTTCTAGGTTCATCCTAGACTTGGATAAAAAACCTTTTTGGAATGGATTCAAGGCCAAAACTGTAACAGGTGATTTCCAAACTACTTCAGTAACACCAGTACCATTTATTAATTTGGATCCGAGTTTGGATCCCAGTAATTTGACTACAATTCATACTGCACACCATTTTGCAGCTGATTCAACTAGAAAGAGTTTTGATCTTTCCGAAGTACTTAGTTCACCTGTCATCAATGCTACTGAACCTATTGTAAATCAGTTGGAAAGCAGAATCAAAATAGCACGTGAACAGAGCAGAACAGGCAAGTTGTGGTGTGAATATTGGGAGCAAATTGATTTGGTGAAGATGTTTATTTATGCAGAACGAATCGGAGATTTTCATCAGCTACATTTGTATTGTGTTAAAAAAATGCTGCCCTACTTCCACTCAAGCGGTCACTTGTCCTATGCCAAATCAGCCCATTTATACTAACAACAGATGAACCAACTGGAAACTTCTATGAGCGAAGAGGATTATGACAAATTCTGTGCTTCATTCACAATCAGACGTCTCCCAGACAAGTTTTGGCAAGGTTTATGGACTGACATCACCATTGAGCAAGTACTTGTGCGATCTATGAAATCAGAAGGAGGCTTGACACGCGGCAGAGGCTTAACTGAAGCCGTGTTGGGTAAATGGGTGTTATCAATGCCAGAATCAACAAGAGTTTGCGAATCGTTGGAGACATTTTCAAAATCTAGGCCTTGCTACTCAGAACAGCATGTCGAATTGCGCGATTCTAGAGGAAATCGCGACTACAACGATCTTCAGCGATTGCTCAGTTGGTTGGAATTCCATAATCCATTTGATGACCAAATAAACTCACTTCTATCCATTTCCTCTTCTTTAGTTGCGTCAGTTGATATAAACTGTGATTCTGCGAGAGAAGTGGGAGAAAACCTATTATCGAAGTGCATTGGCCTGAATTTTCAAGACCTCCGTTTGAAACGAAACGACAAAATTAAACCCTTGTCCTTTATGTTCAAAACTTTGAAGGTAAATAATCAGGAAGCTTCAGTGAATCCAACGCAGCTTTTTAACAGGATTCTCTGCACTTACAAGACTGAGGACACTTTGAAGGAATGCTTCGAATTTGAACTTGCACCTTTCCCTTTGTCTCTTATAGACAATGGGATGCTGCGTAAAACGAACAAGGCAGCTCTATTTGCGTATTTGGATAAGAAATGCCCTCCAACAGATATTCTACCATACGAACCAGTCTTGTTGATTGACGGAGGACATTTTCTTCAAAAGGTTGTGTGGCAATTTCCAGCAACATATGGAGAAATTCTGAACCAATATGTAAATTACTTTATCTATCATTATGGCTCTAATTCAACTGCAGTATTTGATGGGTATTAAGCCGAAATTTCCACTAAATCGCAAGAACAGATGCGTAGAGCAGGAAAGGTTTCCAGTATTGAAATAACTTTTACAGACAACTCTGCAACCACTATTAACCAGGAAAAATTTTTTGCAGACAAAAAAACAAAAACAGATTCATTCAAGTACTGTCCAAGAAACTTCAGGGTGCTGGGATTAAAGATATTCAAGCTAGAGGAGATGCAGATACTGTTTTAGTGGACGAAGCGATCACAATAGGTAAATCCGGTTCACATGTGGTACTTGTTGGAGACGATACCGATCTAGTTGTCCTATTAATGTACAAGGTGCAGGATGAAAAAATATTCATGCTTCGCCCCAGGCAGATCTGGAAAACCGAATCCAGTTACAGATATTTTAAAAACTCAAGGAAAGTTAGGCATCCCGAAAGAATGTATTTTATTCGCTCACGCCATTTCCGGTACTGAGACAACTTCCTGCTTGTTTAAAAAAGGCAAAATTTCTGCTTATAAACTTTTAGAGAAAGACACCAAAATGCAGAATATTGTGTCTGTTTTTCTAGATCCAACGGCGGATAAGAACGATGTGATCAAATCTGGCGATCAGTTTCTAATGGCTCTATATGGAAAACACAAACTGGCAAAAAATCTTGACGAACTGAGGTTCTATAAATATAAAACAATTACTGCTCGACAGGCCCTTAACACAAATTTTGAGTTGGCCGTTTTACCACCGACATCTGAACCTTCAAAAAACCATCATTTAAGGGTATATCTTCAGATCCAGTACTGGATCGGAAATTCGAAAAATCCATTGGAATGGGGCTGGACTAGAAAAAATAATTTGTTGATTCCTTTGATGTCATCGAAACCGATAGCCCCCGAGTTTGTGCTAAAAATGATATTCTGTTCGTGCAAGGCGGGATGTAATAAGCTCTGCTGCTGCAAAAGATCCAATATACCGTGCTCCAGTCTTTGTGCGAACTGCAATGGCATGTCATGTGCCAACTCGGGAATTGAGTTTGGCGAACTTGACGAATGTAGTACCTAGTTGATAAGCTGCGTTATTTTATATCATTTGCTAATGTTATTTTCTACAACGCTAATGTTATTTTCTACAAAATAAATAAAATTTCCAAAGGGACTAGGTAAAAAAGATACAAATTTGGCGTTAAGGCCCTTCGGAAATGCCATGTCAGTTATGGATACATTATTATTTGAAAATATTTGCGCTCCCAGTTGTATATTTTCTTTATAGGTTTCAATATAGCAATTTTTAGAATTATATGTTAATTTTTCTTAATAAGGTCAACAAATACTACTCAATTTTGGTGGTCCCAGCTTCATTATATAATTGTTCCACCTAAAAGTTTAGTTGTACTGGGGGTTTCTTCATAAAAGCACCAAAATTCTTCAGTTATGTGAAATAAAAATATTATGGTTATGTTTTTGAACACAGTGACCAGTGACGCATTGTCTGGTTGCGGCAGTTATCTAAATCAGTACCTGTAACCTAATCAAAGAAGCGGATACAAGTCTATGGAAGGTAGTTATCTGAACTAAGGATTCACGTCAGGAAAAGTTCTATAGAACTCCACAGGAAGAATATAAGATAAGGGCACTTTACAATTACAAATATGAGCAGGAGATACGTAGTTTTTCAATTGATTTGCTAGTCGCAGAGACATACAGTACGTGAAATTCGACGCCTCAGGACTTGTTAATGGACATATTAAAGTTGAAGAAAAGCACAAGTATTCGTAGAAGAAAATTAAGCTGTAGAATTCCTCCCAGATCTTGATCTGGCAGCCGCAAGTTAAAAAGCTAAGCAGTTCAAAAGCAGAAGTATTCTTCAATCAAAAAACTACCCGATCTGATATTCAAAGAACAACATTGTGACGCTCGCTCCCATGAGATTACTAGTTTTGTTTCATATCCAAGTTTGAGTTTCCAATTAATTTCCAAAGTAAGATATCTAAATTTATTTCGAAAAAAACTATACAATTAATAACAACATTTTTACAAAAATTGCCGTTCGTTGCGATCGCATTTCATTTCCGAACCACGCCCATCGCCATCATTATGATCATAGGGGGGCCACTCTATCATCATTTACGATCAACACTAATCATCCTCGTGCCAATTCGTTATTTGGTGCGTTACGTCGTCCACGTTCATTTAAAAAGCTGACCGAACACCTTTTTATATCGTACCCATTATCTGTTTCGGTGTATCATCAGCGAGTTTGTTCAGCTTGAGGTTCGGTCACGCGATCCGAAAAACGGCAATGATACACAACAACAAAACCGACAAATGATGATGAAATGGCAAAAAAGGACTATCATCTGGCCAAGTTTGCAGCAGGTATAATATACTAAGTAGTAGATGGGTTTTTAAAACAAACAATGTAATTTTTTTTAAGGATGATGATGATGGGTAGCTGATGGGGTGGTTTAACTGTTATTAATGGTATTTGTGAATGTTGATTCTATGCTTTCTTACCCTTCCCGATTTGGAGACTCACCGTGAATGGATCCTGAAAACAAAAATAAATATTAATATTAATTGATAGCAAATTGTCATCACACTCTTCAACATATTTTTTTGTAAGCTGGACAGTTTCTCACCAAAAACAAAAACCTATCGATTACAAACGACAGTTAGAATACCCTATGGCGCATATATTCACCTCGTTAATTTACAAGAATTTCCTCTTGTAAGGGTGTGAGTGACAAGATCCGTCCTAATTGACGTCGTATACGCCCAGCGCCCATATATCACCCGTATCTCCGTCTCAGTCGTACCCACGCAACGGGCACCACCGTCGTACGTTGGTGTCTCACTCGCGGTGGCGCCACGTCTGAACCCCGCGTGTCACACCCACTTGGAACAAGTGAACCAGGGCATAATAAATTGGGGTACCATTTTGTGGTTGTAAATTTTTTCCGGTTTTCGGACCGGGGCCGGAGCGGAGTGAAGGCGAATGAATGGGACTGGGCCTTTATTTGAATAATTAAATCAAGAAACGACCGTTAAAAGATTTCGAGTAAGGCAATAATTTGGTTTAGATCTCTCAGCTATATTGCCATCAAGCTTATAAAAGGTTGTAAAATCCAAAGGCATTTATGACGACAGCTTCGGTAACCGGTATTGGATCAATTTTAGTTGATTATAGGCTTACACACCGGCGGAAGTGCAATCCGGGAACAAATTTAATATTAAGTGTGTAAGCACAGCGCCTAAAGAAAATGTAATTTAATTAAATAAATTAAATATTCAGTAAAACTAGTTTTTCTGTGATAGTGAAAGAATCTGTTCTTTCAAGTTCAGATAAGAAAAAAATAGATGGCGTTAGTCATTGACAGTTGACAGTACATTAATCTTATTCTAAAATTAGGTTATATTTGGAAGCTCCTAAAGTCTGTTTTTTTTTTAAAGATAAAAGTCAAAATGACATTATGTTGGCAATACATGTAAAATTTTCAATGCATTCAAATTTTTTATGTAAAAAAGGCTTGTTTTGCCAACATAGTCAGTAGATTTTTCACTTGGGGAATTATCTTTAAATAAAAACAGACTTCAGAATCCTCTGTCATCATCATCAAAAAGCCTTTTCACGTCCACTGTTGGACATAGTCCTCCCCTAAACGTTCCAGAGCTGGGCAGGGCTTGAGTGCTTTGTGCTTGAAGCACTTTGAGGACTTGGAAGCCCTGTGCTATAATCCCTTTTATATATTTGTAATTGGAGCTTGCATAGTCAATTACATCAGAACAGTGCTTGGTAATTTGTTTTCAATGAGTTTCAATTACTTTTATAGGGCTTGAAGAACTTTTGGGAGCTTGAAGCATTTTGAAAGGGCTTGAAGCACTTTGAAAGGAATTTGAATTGACTATCATTCAACCTATCCCCCACCCAAAAATTTTGGATAGATGTGTTTTGTGGCCTAATTTTTTTCTATTATTTGAACCAGGAACCTCCAATTTCTTTTCTCTATTATTCAAATAAATAAGTAATTTATATAAGGTACCCTATTTAACTTTATCATTGGATTTTTTTTCCACTTTTCCTCATTAAGCAATTTGAACACCTCAAAATTGAATCACCATGTAGTAGCCCAACGACCTCAAGTACCCAGCTTCATCTCAAAAAAAAATAAAATAAAATACTACAATACTACTGCTACTCTGTAAAGTTTAAAGTTCATCTCTATTATACTATTCAACTGATGAGTGTATACGCGGTAGTTTTTGCAACTTTGAGAATTGTATCACAAATTCAAAGTGCTTTAGGCACATTTCAAGAGCTTCAAGTACATTTGAAGAGTTTCAAGCACTTTTGAAAAGCTTCAAGCACATTTAAAGAGCTTCAAGCACATTCAAAGAGCTTCAAGCAGATTTAAAGAGCTTCAAGCACATTCACAGAGCTTCAAGCCCTGTTCAAATCACTTTGAGGGCTTTGTGCTTGTGAAGCACTTTTGGAAATAAAAAGGAATTTGCGGTTGAAATTGAAAGCACTTTGAGAAAGGGCTTAGTGCTTCAAGCCCTTTCAGTGACAGCTTTGCCCAGCTCTGAAACGTTCCCAATTTTCTCTGCCTTGGGCAGTTCCGATCCAGTTTATTCCACTTGTCGGTTCTTCGTCTTTCGACATGTCTCCATTTTTCCTTGTTATCCATTCTGTGATCTCATCCATTTCAGTTCTTATGCGAATCTTCTCAGACTCCTCATTTCTCATCCGTCATCCGATCACTCATTCGGTGAAAGACAAAGTCTCCGCGCCACACACTGATTGAATGTTTCCCGTTTCAGAGTCGTCGGTGCCTTGCATTTTTAAGATGCTGCCCCTTCTAGTCTTCTGGACAGTTCACAGGTTCGATTGTATCTGCGACTTTGCTCCACATGCCCTAGATATAATATGTACGTATCTGTCTACTTATGTTCTACTTGGGTTGGCTCACTGGGAACCTGGTCAGTCATCATTTTAGTTTCGAGGAATCTGTTAAATAATATCGTCAAACAAAGCTGTGGTGGCTGAGGTTTTCTCCATCAATGTTTCTTCCTTCTGTTACGTTCAAATTTTACCTAATACGTAACTGAGATTTCGAATGAATTCGGTAATTAATTCAGGTATTTGTGAGGGTATTTATGAAGCTTTATGCATGAGGATTAATATTTTTCAGTGATTGATAGGTTTTTCATTGGATTTTACTAGATTTCTACCTCTTTGATTAGATGCGAAACAATATCTAGTTGTTGAACAAGGGTATATTTTTCGAGGTAATAATGAGTAAATTCTTTGTATGATGACAGGGTAGTTTTAGGATAATAAAGCCCTACTGTTAGGATCGAAATCTATTTTATTTAGCTTACGAAAGTTGTCTAAAAGGCCCTAAATATCGATGAAAAGGTTTGTTTCCTTCCAAATAAATATCAATTGGCAACACTTACGAGTCACGTATTTTCCATTATTAAAAATTCTGCAACATCACACATCACTTTCATAGCCTTTAAATCGCTTTTCCACCCTTAATTCCGATTTTATTTAGATTTTCCCGGTTATTTACTTTCGCCGAATAAGTGTGGTTAAGTGACACTTGTTTCGTTTCAGGCAGCGTTGTTGCTGAGGTCTCTTGACCAATGTGGGGAATATAGTCACTGTAGTTGTGACCACAGAACGACTGGTCATTTTCATAGTTTTTGCACTAAAGACTGGGTAGATGCTGATTAATAAGTATTAATTAGTGTTAATTGGTGTTGGGGAAGAAAATTGGATAACAACTTTGGGTTTCGTTTGTCATCAATGTGATTTGGGTTGTTCCGTTTCAAGCTGATTGTTCCGTTTTCCTGGTCAAGACCGGAAATCTGGCACCAGAGGGCATCTTGGGAAAAAAAAATAGAATTCTGGGGAATTTTTCATAGGAGCTCACCTAATAGATTGCTGAAATTAAGGTCGTTCTTTTTAAATTCGCACGTTGAGCAAACAACAAGTGGCAGATTTTACCAGCGGTCCTTCTTTGCTACATTCCTTGGAACATTCACCTTTTGTGGGATTTTGGAGGCGTTGGGAACTCAAGTGGTTGCTGGCTTAAATTGGTTTTGGGGTGAAAACTTTGGATTTGGTCGTAAGTCCCCGTATTTGTAAGCCAACCACTCAGAATTTTCTGGAAACGAAATCTACGCCATTTTGTTGGTTTGTCGTGTGAGCAGAGAGCACGTTTTGTTCAACTAGCCCAAATTTGTAACCAGGTAAATTTAAACGTTTTTATCACTCTCAATTTACCTGTTATCAATGTTTAGATTAGCATATCTTTATTTTTGTAAATATTTGGGATTCATTAAAAAAGGGAATTCGACCTCCACGAGGAGTAATTTGTCAGTAAAAAAAACTCATTAGTCGTTTTCAAAAGGGGCATTAATGGGCTAATTAATTAAAAGGAATTGTTTTAAAGAGGAAACTTACGGGTTTCAGGGGATTTTCCTATATTAATTGTATAATGGATGTATTAATATGTATTATAAGTATAAAGGGGTTTAAGTTCTAAAAATTTCTCCTCTTTCAGGGTTTTAGGTATTACATTTTACCTTACCATTGGGTTCTTCCTTTTGGACGGTTTGCTAGTCTCGGAGTTGAGGTGTCAGAGTACCCAAAATACTGACTTGAAACCGAAACTTACCGTTTTTAAGAAGGAAAGTCAATTGAAGTTGATGGAGTCTATTATCAGGGCTGTGAGGATGTCATGAGGCAGCAATGGAAATTGAAAATTGATGTTTAGACTGCAGGGAGGACCACAAAGGGGTGATGTACCCGTAAATTTATTAACGTTTCTTAATTATTATTTTTAATTATTATTATTGGTATTTCTTATATTTAATTTGGTACATATTCAAGTTTGTTTTACTGCACCAATGATTTTTAATTGACTATATTTAAGGTGCCATTTTGTACAAACCGGCCCTGGTATACCATGGTATAAGCGTGCACAGGTTTTAATTAATATTATTATTCTTTTATTCCTTAATTGTTCTCTTTTACTCTCATTGGCGTAAGGTGGTCAAACATTTATTGATAATTCTTGAATTTATTAGAGTATCTTATGAGACCATTACAAATTGGTCTTTGTAATGCAGTTTCAGGTCTAAACATACCCCCCAGAACATATTAAATAGTTTTATACTCATTGTTTTTATATTTGACTCTTATTTTACCTCTACTGACCTCAACCAAACTAAGGTAAAGTTGTTTTTATAGGGTAGGTACATTTTTATAGGAATTTTGGAGATCAGGGACTTTCTGGTTTAAGTCCGCGGATTTTATTTTGTTAACCAGTGGTGCCCTATAAAGTTACCTTTCAATTTTGAAACTACTTCCACACCACTGAGTAGCCGCGAGCACTTTGTTGCGCTGGACGCATTCCTTAAGGGTGTCTTACTGTACCTAGGCCTATTAGGGTTTGTTTATTCAAATTTATTATTCAAACAGTTTAAGGGTTAAATTTTTGCGCAACACATCTTGTTCCCAAGGCAATTTCTTAAACGCGC